GGGTAAATTACATGGCCTCATTAAGCTTCATTTTTCTCATCTGTAAATGGAGATGCTATAGAGTTATGAGGCTTTTGTGAGATAATGCATCTAAAGCACAGTGCTAAGCACACTGTAAGTTAAAAATAAACATTTATTCCTCCTTCTCTTCATCCTCCCCACTCCTCCACATTAAAGAAGCATATAATCCAATCTAGGAAGGCTGGTCAGGGAGATTTCCCAGATTTCATCAGCTAAGTTTAGATTTAATAATGCAAGTACCTATTCTATGGCATTTATAGTGAACTAGAGAAGGTACACTCTAGAATTTAACAGCAATGGATGGCCACTATACCGTGATAGATCAAGCTCTTTATGTTAAAGAACAGCACCATTTTCTAACTAGACTACTGTATATGATACCAGACTATGGTTTACAGTAAGAGTATATGGAGCCTATACTAAAGTTTATAGCAACAATATAGAGCAACTATAGTATACGCTATGGTACCTATCTTTAACAATTATGTTGGATGATATAACAATGGATAACAGTTACCTTATACAGTAAAAGCACAGAGCAACTATACACTCTGTCTTACTTACTGCACTTCAATTACATTGGCCTTCTTTTCATTTCAGGTCTTAGGCTTAACACCACTTCACAGAAAGGCTTTTCCAGGGCTTGCAATATACAGTGGGTCTCCCATTACACTCTTTCATAGCACCCTATACTCTCCCTTTATGGCTCTTGCCCTAATTTGTAATTATGTGTTTATTTATGTGACTATTTGTTTAATGATTGTCTTCACCTTAGACTGTAAACTCCATGAAGTCAGGACTTTGTTTACCTTGTTCTCTGTATCCCCAGTACCTGGCAAATGGGCTCTTGAAATATATTTTATTTTTCTAGTCACTGACCTGAAGTTCACATATATGTTTCCAGAATGAACAAATGAACTAAACATAGTGTTTAGTGATTGTGTGACGGCACAAAGCTACAGTGCCCCATGTAGAGTAACTAGGGCCAGATGCAGTCAGCCCCCAACCCTTTACCTTCATCTGCATGGCCTCCTGGCCCAGTTGTTTTAACTGTATGTTGTTGTGACAGGAATACTGCTATGCTTTAACCTGATGAGCTGCTGTTATAATTTAACAAACTGGATTCTCAGCCATGCTGAGTTATTGCATGGAGCGTGATACTTTTAAAGGCACTTACAAAACCATATTTCATCATACAACAGCAACCAAGAAAGGAAAACCAGTTTTTACTGTATCCATTTAAGCCATGGGGAAACAGGCTGAGAAGGTGAAGAGCCATGTTCAAGGTCATAGGGTGCATCCAGGGACTCTCCACACTCCCACACATTGCCTTTGCTCTATAAGCTATAGGCAGAAGTGGAGAACTGAGGCTCTAATTTTCACTACTCTCATGAGCGTTCTTATTTGTCCTTGGACAAGACACTTCTTTCCCCTGGCCTGTTTCCCTCCTATTCTCTAGGAAGAGGGAAGTGGGATGAAAGGCACCTTCCATCATTTAGTAGAAGCAGGGGGAGAGGCTCTATCAAGAATGGGATGGCTACAGCATGAATGAAACTTGAGGACATTATGCTAATGTAATAAGCCACTCATCCAAAGACAAAGACTGTATGA